AGCTCGAAGGCAAAGTAGAAATTTGACAGAGGCGTTTTAAAATCACGAAGTACTGAGATAGTTTCCCCTAGTTGAAGAGCTGTTAATAAGAAGGCACTGATTTGTGGTGATTGGCAAAAGGACTAGAGACAATACAAGGAAAGTCTTCTACGTAGGATTTGGAAACCACTGCATTTGGGAACAGTGGATACAGACTCGATTGTAGTCTTTTAAAAAGAATTAGAGAAATATTTGAAGGAGAAGAATCTTGTTGGGGTGTAGAGAAAGGTTAGGGAATTGCACTAACTGGTCTCCTCCTTGAAAGAAGATATGCAAACCTCATGAGCTGAATGACCTCTTTCCGAAATGTACTGTCATTTGACTCTGAAGAGCTTGCATTTATATAGAGCCTTTTTTAACCACTGGATATCCCACAGCATTTTGATTTTTTTGATTTTGATTTTTTACTGTTACGTATAGTCAAGAACAGGAGTACAGTAAAAGGTGTCTAATGTCGCCACACAAGGCACCATCTTAAGTACAAGTACCTAGATACAGAATCTTAAGAAAAAGGTAGAAAGAAAGAACAAAGTTAAAAGTTAAACATTTCAGTGATTATAGTACAGTGACACCTTCTTAGTTTTAAGTAGAAAATAAAGAATCAAGCTGAAAGTTCAAACATTTCTTAAGTGCTTAGCCACGGTGGGACTACACTTTGAGGAATCACCTCGAGACCGGAAGTCCTCGCTGAGGCCACGCTGGGACAAAAGCACATACCACTGAAAGACCACCATGCTGGGCCAAGAGATCGCCACGCTGGGATGGGAGGGCGACTTGCCAGTTCTGCGCTGAGTCCGAGGTCGGGAGTCCATGGCTGGGAGAAGAAAGAAGTGAGAAAAAGGGGGAGAAAAAAGCACAAAAGAGAAGAAAAAGAGAGAAAAGGAAACGGGCAGAGCGGACAAGCTCCATCTGAGGCATCTTACTCTGCCACCATCTTGGATTTACCAGTTAATGAAGTACTTTTGAAATGTGGTCAGTTATTTTGTAGGAAACACGGCATTTTTTTGCACACAGTAAGCTCCCCTTCAGCATTGAGAGAATGACTAAACCATTTGCTTTAAAGATCTTATTTGAGGGATAAACATCGTCTGGATGCTAGAATTCCCCTGCTTCTCCACAGATGCCGTGTAAAAATATTGAATTTTTAAAATATTGTTTGTGTTTCTAACAATGATATTGAGAGAATTGGTTGGAATTGCTTCTGAAAAAGCCAGCATATTTTTCCTCAACGATACTGAGGCAATGAACTTTAGAAGACTTTCTATTGTGGTGGTGGCAGGGTAGGTGTAAGGACAGGCAGTAGAAAAGATAATGGGAAAAAAAAGAAACACATTGAAAGCTGGTGAAAAGCAAGACTGGGCAAGTTAGGACACTGATGGAAAACGATAGGATGATGGAAAAAAATCAGGAGCTTCGCTGGCATTCAGCTCACACTGGTCAGAAAATATCACCCAGCAGGAAACAAAACATGAAAGAAAATGGTGTAAAAGAAGTGTTATTTTTAGAATCATAGAATCCCTATAGTGTGGAAGCAGGCCATTCAGCCCGTTGAATCACACTGACCCTCTGAAGGGCATCCCACCCAGACCCACCCTACCCCTGTAAGCCTGCATTTCCCGTGACTAACCCACCTAGCCTGCACATCTGTGGACACTGTGGGCAATTTAGCATGGCCAATCCACCTAACCTGCACATCTTTGGACTGCGGGAGGAAACCGGAGCACCTGGAGGAAACCCACACAGACACGGGGAGAATGTGCAAACTCCACACAGGCAGTCACCCGAGGGTGGAATCGAACCCGGGTCCCTGGCGCTGTGAGGCAGCAGTTCCGCCTATTCAACTGGATACAAGAAGGAAGGAGAGAAAGACCCTTGCTGCATTGAAGAATTTGTGTGGTGGTAATTAATGGGGTATTTAATCCACCATTGTATCTTTTTACTGTTCAGCTTCAGGTTTATCTGGCAAGTTATCTCTGGCAGTTGCACTGAATTGTGATCGCGGTCTTCGATGGCTTCTTCCATTGTACCTCCGCATACCTAAACTAGCAGATCACCCACAAAAATTTCCACTTCAGGTCACTAACTATCTCATGCTGTCTGCACTCTTCCGGAGTGGTGGAAATATCAAATATCATGTGCAACCATCTGTACCTTTTGAAAAGCATCCAGAAAACTGCTGCTTCCATCCAGCCAGTAATCATCCTTTGCATCAAGGGGAGTAGGAATCTGTGCCTTGCAAGTTGTGACAACGTTTCTTCAACGTTTGATGTAGGGAACTGAAAATATTATTGAGATCCTTTGGATTGATGCCTACCCTCTGATTTGTACGTTTATTTTTGCTGCTTCCACGCTGCTAATCCAGTCTATGGGAGTTGTCAATATCGTGATCACTCCTTTTTTTCCCAGTCTAGAGTCAACCACATCGCTGTGGGTCTGCAGTCACATGTAGGCCAGACTGGGGAAGGATGGCAATTTCCTTCCCTAAAGGACATTAGTGAAGCAGATGGGATTTTTCCTGACAATCGACAATGGATTCAGGGTCATCATTAGGTTCTTAATTCCAGATATTTATTGAATTCAAATTCTACCCTCTGCAATGGCAGGATTCAAACCTGGGTCCCCAGAACGTTATTTGGGTCTCTGGATTAACAGTCCAGCGATAATACAGTAGGCCATTGCCTCCCTCTCCAGGACATCTCCAGTGGCGAGCACGGTTGCAAAAATTATAGATCATAGAATCCCTACAGTGTGGAAACAGGCCCTTTGGCCCAACAAATCCACACCGACCCTTCCAGGCTAGACTTCAGAGCAGCTGGAACTCTCCTGAGTAGATGCTGAATTGGTCTTCTACTCTCATCTACTCCAAGGTGATATTCACCAGGAAGACTTCCAAGAGTTGTAAAACCAGTTTTGTAATTTTTTCAAAAACATTCAGTAGCTAATTGTCTGCAAAACACTGCAAATTTCTTCTGATTTATACAAAGTTGCCTGTCCAATCTGGAGAATGACTTAAGCTGAGTGGAATTTGCTCAGCACCTACCATCTAGAACTCCAGCTCTTCAATCTTCACATTGCATTGGGTTCTCATTCTTAACTTGGCTCCTTAGCATGAGTAGCATTCCTCAACCTCAGTCTTAATCTTGAGGGCTTCATTTCACATAGGTATACAAAACTCATGAAGTTGCACAATGCACTAATGTGTATCAGATACTTCACGTTCATTTGGTACTCTGCTTCTGCAGTCATGTGTTTAACATTCAGAAACTATTTATCATCCTTGGTCGTATGATGTCAACCTTTATTATAGTATAAACTGATTCATCAGAATCATTGCCTCATATCTCTCCTGTAGCTATCTGTTATAGGCATGCTTTGCTTCTTTTCAAAAACAGTTGTGAGAAAAATGATTCAGCTTCTTACAGGTAGATCACTGCTTTCCCCACACTGGACATGCTTCCTTTTCATTTGTGAAATATCCTCTGCAATGTTTACATCCTATGTTTTGGCCTTTATCATTCTTCTGACTCTTTAGCAAATACTTGTTGCTTTACCCCAGTCTGTTGTTTTTCATTCAGCCTGGAATATCTCTTAGTTCTAGCGTCATATTAATATGCAATATTTGATGAATGACCACTTCAGAGCTTCTGCACATCAATAGCTTTTTTTGAGAGTAATTTCTTCTCTCTCAGCAGATGTGGTCTCACTGCAGCATCTCTAACAGCCAAGACATCCTGTCTCTGATGAGCTCATCTTTCAGTAATAGATTGATAGAGTCATAGAGCTGTATAGCATGGAAACAGATCCTTTGGTCCAACTCGACCATGCTGACCAGGTATCCTAAATTAACCTAGTCCCATTTGTCAGCATTTGGCCCATGTCGCTCTAAACCCTTCCTATTCATATACCCATCAGATGCCTTTTAAATGTTGTAATTGTACTGGCCTCCACCGCCTCCTCTTGTCCAAACTCTAAGATTCCAATTAGATCTACCAATGTGGGTTAACATTGCATGTCATTACAAGGAGATTTGAGTACAGCAGTAAAGATATTGTTCTGTAATTGTATGAGGTCAGAAGTCACACAACACCAGGTTATTGTCCAACAGGTTTATTTGAAATCGTAGGCTTTTGGAGCACTGCTCCTTATCAGGTAAAGTGAAGATAAGGACTCAGGTACAGAACTTATAATTAGAGAAATCAAAAGATCATACAAATGGTGTGAGTGGTGCGTAGTCTGTGTTGTAGGTCGACTTGAGTGGGTTTGTGATCTGTAGCCCTTTCGGAATCTTCTCTGCTTTTTTGCATTTCTTCAGAAACTTGATGTCTGTGTCCAATATGCGTGATCGTCTCGGAGATCCTCTCCACTTTGAGACGGGAGTTTGTGGCTTTGATTTCAAATCAACCTGTTGAACCTGGTGTCGTGTGACTTCTGACCTTGTCTACCCCAGTCCAACACCGGCACCTCCACATCATGCAATTGTATGGCGCCTTGGTGAGCCCTTGCCTGGAGTATTATGCGCAGTATTGGTCTCCTGATCTATGGAAGGATACACTTGCCACAGAAAGAGAGAAAGAGCAATGGAGGTTCACCAGATCAATCCCAGGATTGTTTTATGAATTGAGAATGAGGAAACTAGGCCAGTATTCTCCAGAGTTTCAAAGAATCAAGTGGCTACCTTGAAACGTACAAAATACCTACAGGGCATCACAGTGAGGATATAGAGTCATTCATTCATTCATTAGTTGCAGTGGACGCGGGAACCCACACGTTCCTAATGGTTCCTGCTGATGATAGAGCTATTTCTCCTCCCCTCCGCCAGGGGCGCTGCCAGCCTCTCCCCGCCTCGGGAGGGAGAGCTGTAAGCCCACCTCCCCTCCACTAGGGGAGCGCCTCGAGTCTCTCCTACCACGGGCGGGCGCGCTGTTAATGCCTCCTCCCCCCCGCGAAGGGGCGCTGTCTTTGGCGGTCCGGTTGCTCTGACGACATCAGTGTGCGCCGCCCAGTGTGGGCCGTGGTTGCCGGGTGACAGCAGGAGTGTGGCGGCATGGCGCTGTTCACCATCAACAGGTGGGAGCGGGGTGACTGAGACTTGGAGAGGACAAGGAGGGAGAGAGGGGATGGGGGTAGAGTGAGGGGGGGAGGTTGGAGGGAGCTGGGAGCATGTCTAGTGGAATCTTACTTGCAGCTTGACATCCGTACTCGGGTAGATTGGAAATGTCAAGTTTCCAGCCTCTCTAAATGTGCATTTGTAATGGATATTTTTAATTTATTGGGTGGAAGTCGTGTTGGATCGAGAAGGGTTTCAAGTTTATTTCGGTTTGCATATTATTTCAGTTTAATAGGTTAAGCTATTAAAGCATGCGATGGAATAATTTTGTGACCACCTGCAACATGATGCACATTCATAGCTGTGATCCATTCAGTGGAGTTAATGATTGGTATGAAAGAGAAGGTTAAATCAACAGGCAGAGAAAGATGTAAAGGGACGAGAGACCAGAAAGAAAACATTGTGATCATGAGGCAGGCCCCATAATACACCGATCTGCTTTTCTCTGTCCTCCACTGGGTGTTTAATGATAACAGTATACAGCCTTATTATGAATCTCCTGACATTAACCACATTAGCTATTTCCCGCACATTCCTTTATGTATGTGGTGTTTCCCAGATAATGTGCGAATTTAATAGAGTGACCTGCCATTCACTGATAATGTGGAACTGTACGTAACCAATTCTCAACTCCAGCAGTTTTTGGCTGTGCTGGTCCTTAACAAATAACATTTCTAATTGTCCTTCTCTTGACTCTCAGATACCTCTGCGATGATGAACCTGCTAACAGTCTGCATGATAACTCCCGATCCCAAATTTTGCTAGAGAAGCTTCATCAAGCGGCCAAGGCCAGACAGCAACAGCTAGAAGTTAAGAAATGTCCCATAGATGGAGAGGGACGGAGGAACCAGGGAGATGGTGAGAACGGTGGAAAGCAGGGCAAAAAGAGGAAAAGAGAAGCTGAGGAAGAGGCTACAATTTCAAAGAAAAGCAGGAAGAAAGCAAAACGCCTGTCAAGTGAATCTGGAGACAGCGAGAAAAGTAGGAGACATGCTGACTGCCAAGTGCTCAAATTAGAGAAGGGGGATGCAGGGTTCAGTGTTAAGCAGTTATGTAACAAGAAGGTGAAGAGGATCATTACTGGAGTGGAGAGAAAAGGCAAACATCAAGATCAAAGCACAAACAATACAGGTACAGAATTTGCTTCTTGGTCTGCCGGCCAGTGCTTGGCACTCATTTCCTGGGATCTTGATCAACTGAGCCAATAGGCCGAGGAATGGTAGATGGAGTTTACTTTAGATAAATGTGAAATGTTGCATTTTGGTAAGACAAGCCAGGGCAGGACTTACACAGTTAATTGTAAGGCCCTGGGAAATGTTGTCAAACAGAGAGACCTAGGAGTGCAGGTATATAGTTTTTTGAAAGTGGCATCACAAGTAGATAGGGTGGTGAAGGAGGCGTTTGGCACACTTGCCTTCATCTGTCAGAGCATTAAGTACAAGAGTTGAGATGTCATGTTACGGCTGTACAAGACATTGGTAAGGCCACATTTGGAGTACTGTGTACAATTCTGGTTGCCCTGCTATAGGAAGGATATTATTAAACTGGAAAGTGTGAAAAAAAAGATTTACAAGGATTTTACTGAGCTGGAGGGTTTGAGTTAAAAGGATGGTCATGGATGAATTTTTAGCTGAGAACAACAAATTTGTTAGAACTTTTTGAAAATGTGATCAAGTATGTGGATGCAGGAGGTTCAGTTGATGTAGTTTATGTGGATTTTAACAAAACTTTTGACAAGGTCTCACATGGGAGACTGATTGAGAAGCTTAAGGCACATGGAATTGAGGGAAACTTGGCGAGATGGATCAGAAACTGACCTAGTCATAGGACACAAAGGGTAGTGATAGAAGGCTGTTTGAGTGCCTGGAGGCTGGCGTCCACTGGTATACCACAAGGATCAGTATTGGGACCCTTATTGTTACGTACATAAATGATATAGATGAAAATGTTGGGTGAATGTTAAGTAGATTTTCAGATGACACCAAGATTGGTAAAATGTTAATAGCGAAGAAGATGGTTGTAAGTTACAGGAAGATATAGATGGGTTGGCCAGATGGGCAGACCAGTGGCAGATGGTATTTAACCCTGATAAGGTGATGCACTTTGGTAGAAGAAACAAGATAAGAGAGAATTTAATGAATGGCAGGACACTGGGTAGCTTAGAGGAACAGAGGGATCTTGGGGTAATTATTCAGATTCCTGAAGTCAGCAGTGCACATGAATAGGATAGTTAAGAAGGCATATGGGACACTTGCTTTCATCAGTCATGGCATAAGAGTATAAGAGCAAGGAAGTAATGTTGCAGTAGTACAGAACATTGGTTAGGCCACAGCTGGAGCAGTTCTGGTCACCTCACTACAGGAAAGATGTAATAGCACTAGAAAGGGTACATAGGAGGTTCACCAGGATGTTGCCTGGAATGGAGAAATTGAGCTATAAGGAGAGACTAGACGGGCTTTATAAAGCAGAGAAGACCGAGGACTGACATGGATAAGGGGCAGGAGATTTGGAGGGGATTTGGGAAAGAACTTTTTCACTCAGTGGGCGGTGGGAATCTGGAATGCACTGCCTGAGAAGGTAATGAAGGCCAGAAACCTTACAACCTTTAAAAAATATTTAGATGAGCATTTCAAATATCATAACATTCAAGGATATGGGACAATTGCAGGAAATTGGGATTAGCGCACGTTTAATGGTAGTTATTGTTGGTGTAGACTCAATGGACGAAGGGCCTTTTCTGTGCCCTATGAATCTGTGAGAGGCTGGATAGGCTGGGATTTTTTTCCCTGGAGTGTAGGACGCTGAGGGGTGACCTTTTAGAGGGTTTATAAAATCATGAGGGGCACAGATAAAGTGAGTAGTGACGGTCTTTTTCCCCAGGGTAGGGGAGTCCAAAAACAGAGGGCACAGGTTTAAGGTGAGAGGGTAAAGATTTAAAAGGGACCTGATGGGTAACATTTTCACACAGAGGGTGTTGCATATATATGTGGTAAGCTGCCGGATGAAGTGGTAAAGGTGGGTACAGTTACAACATTTAAAAGACATTTGGACAGTTACATGGATAGGAACAATTTAGGGGATTTGCCAAACGCAGGCAAATGGAACTAGTTCAGTTTGGCAAACCTGGTTGGCATGGATGAGTTGGGCCGAAGGACCTGTTTCCACGCTGTATGACTCTACGATCCTCACCAAAATCACAAATGACATCAAGTTGAAATTCTGACCTCATGTATGCGTGACCCTTAAGACTGTCTCTGTAACATTGTCCAGCCCCACCTCTGCCTCAGCTCCTCTGTTTGGTATCTTTGTTATCTCATGCTTGACAGTTTCAACACACTCCTGAACTGGCCAGTCATTTTGTACCCTTCATAAACCTGACGTCCTCTTTGCTGCCCAAGTTTTGACTGGCTCCAAGTTCTGTTCATCCATCTGCCCTGGAAGCCTGCAGGTGGAGGTGGGCATCTGTTGAATATATTTTATCAAATGGACTTGAGCACCTGATTAAAATCAGTGAAAGAGTTGAGGTGTTCGGTCTGTAGCGTGAGCATTGTTTCTAATAATTGGTCATTGTGTGTCAATGGGAGAATGGTATAACTGCTGCCTTCACTGACCCAGCTGGTACGCACTTGGTTCTAGTATACATGCCTTGGGAGAGTTGTTGGATCTTGAATCAGCTGCTAACCTGCTGTGCAAGACAGCATAGGGAGGAAGTACAAATATTTGCTTAAAGTTGTGGCTTTGTGATTGGGTACTGTCCAGTGGCTGGAATGACTGCCTGTAAGGCATATCAGCATTCACTCTGCACAAGCTGACTGCTTCAGCCAAGCTCTGCATTCACATGTAAATAACCAAGATCTGGATCATAAATAAATGGAGCCAGCAGTAATAGCTGGGCATCAGTGACTGCTGAATGTCTTCAACTTCACATTGAAATGATAGTTAAACTGTAGGTTGGCAATTGAATCCACTGTAAAATTGGCTGTTGTGGCACTCTTGCCACTGGGTTGAGTCCAACTCCAAATCTTAAGAACTGGAGAACTAAAGAGGGCTGTGCTGGGGAATATGGTGACTTTCATAGAATGTTTACAGTGGGGAAGCAAGCCATTTGGCCTGTCATGTCCACACCGACCCTCCAAAGAGCATCTCAGCCAGACCTGCCCTATGCCCCTATCCCTGTAACCCTGCTTTTACCATGGCTAACCCACCTAATTTACACGTTCCTGGATACCGCAGGGCAATTTAGCATGGCCAGTCAACCTAACCTGCACACCTTTGGACTGTGGAAGGAAACCCATGCAGACACGGGGATAACGTGCAAACTCTACACAGACAGACACCCAAGGTGGTATGAACCTGGGTCACTGGATCTGTGAGGCAGCAGTGCTAACCACTGAGGCACATGCCGCACAGATGAGATGTTGAACTGAAATCCAATCTCTCAGTTGAGTTGAATGTGGAAGTTCCTGTTTTGAGAAGAGCAAGGCATTCTCCTGGTATGTTGATCAATATTCAAATATCAACCAACTTGTAATTCTGTAGCTATTTGTGGGATGTTAATATAAAAAGTACAATTATATTTTTCAATGTAAAAGTCTGTGCAATCTTAAAATTGATATTTGTTATATGACACTTTGAATGGTTTTAGTGTGATGAGGTGCTGGTGTCACTATTAATCGAATGATACTTTCTTGCTAAAAATACCTTACAGAGACATCCGATGAAACTAATTATGATCAGGCAAGACGGAACGGCAATTTGGAAAAATCAGAGCAGACAGGAGTGAAGGAGAAAAATGATCAGGATGAGAACCAAATGTCAACTGATCCCAAATCGAACCTGACTATTCTTGGAGGATTTCAGAAGAAAAAGATTCAGAAGGTTAGTATTGTTTGAAAACAAAACTAGGATCACTAGAAGAACCCACTGGAGGGGTTTTTGACAGTTTCAGCCTGGAGTGCAAAGCTTGTGTTTTATTCATTCAGGGGGAAAGTTGATGTCACTGATTCGGCTAATTTTAATCGCTTATCCTTAGTTAGCTTCGAGTTGCTTTCTTGAACTGCTGCAGCCCATGTGCTGTAGGTAGACCCACAATACTGTTAAGGAGGGAGTTCCATGATTTTGACCCAGCAACCGTGAAAGAACGGTGACAATCACATGATCAGGGTAGTGAAGGCTGCTGTGATGAGGCTGGGATTGAAGCATGTTGTTTGGTTTTTGTAAAGGGAGCTTTACCCTGTATTTAACCCATGCTATATCTACACAGGAGTGTTTGACATGATGGTGTAGAATGAGCTTTACTCTGTATCAAATCCTGAGATGTATTTTTTTTCTTTATTCTGTATGATATGTGGGTGTCACTGGCAATGCTGGCATTTCTACCAATCACTAGTTAGCCTTGAATTGAGCAGCTTGCTAGGCCATCTCAGAGGGCAATTAAGAATAAACCATGTTGCTGTGGGTTTGAAGTTACATTTGTGCCACACCAGGTAAGGATGACAGATTTCCTTCCCTGAAGGACATCACTAAACCAGTTCGTTTTTTATGGCAATTGACAATGGTTACACGTTTGCCTTTAGAATAGCTTTTAATTCCAGATTTTATTGAATTCAAATTTCACCATTTGCTGTGGTGGAATTCAAATCCGTGGCCCCTGATCATTAGCCTGGCCCTCTGGATTACTCATTCAGCTCAAGCTATTCGATATTTAGAATATTCTAATATCTCTACATGGTGGGGCGAGAGAAGACAGTATTCATCAGAGTTCAGTCAATTCCCTCCCCATTCATCCCCATCCAGAAAGGTTCACCCTGTTGTCTGCTAACTTATTTCTGGTTTACTGATGGAAGCCAATATACTACTTGTCATCACCTGTCTTGAACTATTTGACTGGATAGTGTAAAGGGAATACAATGGCTCAAACCTGGTATCGTTAACAATAGGACAGTCCTTCTACATTGACCCGTCAGATGCTTATTGTTTATTGATGACACTAGAGATTGAACCTTCTTGAATTTGAGACAAATGGCTAAGACTGGGATATGGTAAATAATGACTCGGGGAGTTTTTTTTCTCTTTTTGCAGGTGCATCGAGTCTTGCCTCAATGGCTCGCTAAGCCCATGCTGGTCAACAAGGACATTAAACAGAATCTAAAAGCGATCGAAAATGTTCCAGGAATTCATGAGAAACTGCTTCAGAAACTTCAAGCCAATGGTATCCATTCCTTCTTCCCAGGTATGTGCTCACCACACTCTGTAAAAGCTGTCAAAGATTCACTGAAGGTGGAGAGAAGATTATAGGATTGGTGAATAGAGAAACTGAGATTATCCTGCCTGGATTTGAGAAGGTGAAGGGGACATATGGTATTTACAATAATAAGGAGAAACTATTTCCACTCATAGGAGAACCTGGATTTAAGATAATTTGCAAACGAGCCAGTGTGGGTTTTATGCAGTGATTTGATATGATTTAGAATGCAATACTTGAAAATGTGGAGATGGAGGACCTATGGTGGTATGAATTTGCAAGTGGGGAACTGGAATCTGGCTGGTACCTAACGGTTGATTCTCATTTTTACTGCCTGGGTGTTGAGTATCACCAGGAAATGGTACAGGAAGGGAAATCGGGCAGGAAAGGTTAGTAAGTCTCATAAAGAATAGTGGCAAAAATGGAAATCTGTTTCCTTGGTGCCTTGGTTACACCAGCAACATTGTATCAATGTGGAATTAGTGATGAACAGATATCTCACTTACCTGACTTTTTGTGAATAAATATACTGCATGGTGTTACAATCTTTTTATTTACTCGTGGAATGAACTCCCCTACTAACTAGCAGAGGGTAGTTAAGAGGAGAATTCACTATTGCTGTGGGTCTGGAGTCACATCTCGGCAGATTGCCTTCTCTAATGGTCATTACTGAGCCATGGGTCACCATTGCTTTTTTTAAAATTTTAGATTTGTTTGACTTCAAAGTTCACCATATGCCAAGGCAGACTTGAACCCTTGTCCCAGAATCATTAGTCTGGGGCTCTGGATTACTAGCCCAGTGACATTGGTATGATATCACCACCTCCTGCTGACAATGGCGGTAGTTGTTGCCCATCCCTAGTCACCCTTTGACCTCTCGTTCTAGAGTTGCACATAGGCAATGTTGGGAAAGGATTGCAGATCACTTTCCCTAAAGGATATTCGTGAACAGCTTGGGTTTTTACTATTACTGAGATTAGTTTTTACTCCAGATTTGTGTTTGATAAACTCAATGAATCGAAATTCCATTAGCTGCCATGACATCAGGACATTTGTCTGGGCTTCTGAATTACTGGTGTGGTGACAATACCACTACCCCACTGTCTTCTCACTCCTCCAGCTGTGATTCTTAGTTTATACTAAGTTAATTTCATTTGAACCAATACAATTGGTTTTGGTGCCCTTAGACTAAGGAATGGTGAGGGGAGGAATTGAAGCAATCAGATCTGGTTGTGATGCACTCCATAGTCAAGTCTATCTCATTATATTAACAAGCTGTTGTTTGGTGATGCATCATCATTTATAGTGCCAGTATTTTTCACAGAATCACAGGATTATTTTTGGTGCAGGAGGCCAATCAGCCCATTGTTTATGTACCAGCTCTCATATTGGCAATGTCCCTCCTTTACCCTGTAAGCTTGCACATTGCTTCTGTTTAAATAATCATCAAATAATCATAATCTGAATGTCTCAGTTTAAAATGTCTCCACCACACTGATGGGAAATGCATCCTAAACCAGATTACTCGCTGTCTGAAAATGTTTTTCTGACAGTATATTTGCTTCTTTTGCAAAACACTTTAAAACTGTGCGCTCTGGTTCTCGATGCATTTATGAGCAGGAACCATTTCTCCCTGTCCACACTGGCCAGACCCCTGTAAACTTCTATTAAATCTCCTTTTAGCTTTTCCATCTCCAAGGAAAATAATCCCTATTTCTCCAATCTTTCCTCATTTCTGAAGTTTCTCATTTCCTGGAACCATTCTGCTAAACCTCTTCAGCACTTTCCCCAATATATTCGCATCCTTCCTAAAGTGTGTCATTTGGAATACAATACTCCAGCTGAGATCTAACCAATGTCCTGTTTAAATTCAGCACAACCTTCCAGTTGTTATTCTCTATGCCCTTACTTATGAAGCCAGAATACTGTATGCTTTACTACCTGTCTTGTCACCTTCAATGGCTTATGCACAGGTCTCTCTGCTCCTGCACACCCTTTAGAATGCCACAATGTATTTAATGTTACCTCTCCATGTTATTTGTACCAAAGTGCATCACCTCACACTTCTCTGCAATGAACTTCATGTACCACCCATCTGCCACTGCACCGATGTGTCAACGTGCTTTTGAAGTTCTACACTGGCCAGCTCACAGTTTACAATTCTTCCAAGTTTAGTATCCCTTTACTCCACTAAAATTCTCGTGTCCCTAATTGTAGTAGGCTGATATATGTCCATGCTCGTCTTTTCCTGATCACATATCAATAAAAACATATGTTCCTTTTTTTGTGCCTCAGTAACTTGCATTCAGATTTTCTTTTCCATTTCCTTGTGAATTATTTGGTCTTCCTTTGAGTCCTGTGTAGTTCCTAATTGTCCAGATTACCACTGTTTCTGGTATTCTTTTAACCCTTTGAGATTTCTGCACTCTTCCAGTTGTAATCCCTTGTGCATCCCTGATTTCGGTGTTCCGCTTTAGGTAACCATGCTGTCAGGTGTTGAAAGTCTATGAGCTCTGGGACTCCCTCCCCTCTGCGAGAATCCCTCTCCTGCATGAAACTTTGCATCATAATACTTTTCCTTATTTCTTGCTGTCTCACACATGTGCACAGACAGACAGACAGACAGTCTCTCTCTTTCAGTCTCTCTCCCTGTCTCTCTCACACTCTCTCTATCTCTTTCACACTCTCTCTATCTCTCTCTTTCTGTCTCTCTCATAAACAGACACACACACACACTTATGATATTCCTTAAAGCTTACCTCATGGACTGATGATCAAATATACTGTCGTTCTTTGTCCTTGTGTCTAATTTTGTTTTTGGTGAAGTCCTTGGAATGCTTTATTATGTTAAAGTGCTGTATGAATGTAGGTTAGTGTTGAAACATCATTAGGTTAAATGAGATCTGTTTAGAGATTTTTCAGCAGTCTGCTGACTTCTCCTACAGTTGCTGGCTGGTACATGCAGTTTAACCAGTGACTTTGATCATGCCAGGTGTGTGACCAGACATAATGTGTGTGACTATGAATGTGTGGAGCTTACTGACTGACATTGTGGAGGATCAGCTTCATTACTTCACACTGACTATACGTACTGCCTGTTCCAGGACATCTCCCAGAGTGTCCTGCTCTTAACCTTTGTTTTGTTCTGTTTCTCCCCCAGTTCAAACTGAGGTAATCCCCACCCTCCTGGAGAGCACAAAGCATGGATTGATGCTGGGCAGAGGGGGCTATAGGCCGAGAGACCTTTGTGTGTCAGCACCCACTGGCAGTGGCAAGACCCTGGCATTTGTTATCCCCATTGTTCAGGTGAATCTTAAAGCTGACCTGTTTTTCATGCTTTCGAAGTTGAGAAATATATATTAATTAGATATTTTTAAAAGCACATGGTTATTTTCCCTCTGTTTGAGTTTGGTTGATTGAAGGATGCATTTGCAACAGTTTAAGCAGCCATTATCAAAGTGGTTTAACATGATTCCTTTAACCTGTGATTCCTCTGAACCTCCATTATTCTAGATTTCCTCTAAAATGATGCTTTGCAGTAATCTGTTGTAGATGAAGTGGCTGCATCAATGATTTAATAAAACTATTCTCATCCAGAAAGCCAGTTGGCCAGGGAAGATACTTGAGACAATCTTGACTTACTCTGTAAATAAATGTAAGACTGAAACATGACAATTCTGTACCACACCAAATTCCCAACTAATGTCCTCCCCTGCATGTTTACACTCTTTCAGTTTCAACATTGAGTTCAACAATTTTAGATGTAATCTTTGCCCCCATTTTGTTTCATCTTCTCTGCATGTTTCAGTCTTTTTATTTATCTTCAATTTTAAACTTTGGATGACAGTTGTTTGCTATACTGCAATACAACCTCCTCTGGAAATATCTCTTATTTCTTCACTTTTGCTACTATCACCACCCATGGCTCTGTGCGCCTGACCTTTCTGTCATTCAATGTCTCCTGTGTTCTGCCCCTGTAAGAGACATCCCTCTTGGTTCTTTTACCACAACCATTTCAACTTGTTTAAAGCTGCAGCATTTGTAACTTTTCCTAGCTCAGATGAAAGGTCTTCAAGCTCTCTTCCTGTCTCTAGAAAAGTGCTGCCTGATGTAACTGAGCCTTTCAGCATTTTCTGAATTTTCTTTTACTTCTGCCACCGAGGATGGATAGTAGTAACGTTTTTGCCTGTTTATAAGTGAATTTGTCAACAATAGATCTCAAAAGCCAATTGATGGATTTCTGTGTAACTTGGTACACTTGAAAGGGTATAGCCCAAGGAAGAACTGATTAGTTTTTGCCAAAGCTGCAGATCCACACCCTGGAATTTTTAAAGAATCTGTTCACATTGGGTGGTTGAGTGAAGCAGCATTTTAAAAGTTATTTACATATGGTTTGATCAGGTGCTTCCTCAATAAGTTGGAAGCTCTTTTTTTCAGCTTTGTAGTGACATCTGTTCAACCAAGCTGTGAAAAACCTCGAGAGCTGTGTAACTGTAATCACATTGAGTTAAGATGTGGAGGTGCTGGTGTTGGACTGGGGTGGACAAAGTCAGAAGTCTCACGACACCAGGTTATAGTCCCACAGGTTTATTTGAAATCACAAGCTTTCAGACCACTACTCCTTCGTCAGGTGACAAAGGAGCAGCACTCCAAAAGCTTGTGATTTCAAATAAACCTGTTGGAGTATAACCTGGTGTCGTGTGACTTCTGATGTTGTGTGTTAACTCAATGCTCTGTTCACTGGTACTTATGGAGTTTCTCTTGGCAGATATTCCTTTGTCCCTCTTGGAAGATTAATTAAGTTCACAACATCCACAACAGCACAATGTATGCATGGTCTATGAAAGGGATTGCTTCAAATCCACTCAATGATGTATATTTTTCTGGAGTTTAGCTGACTGTGGTAGATTTTGTAATAAAGAGTACATCTGATTGCCAAGTCATAGGGTACAGTATCTTGACATCACCACATGAGTGTGTCTTGCTAACTGAAAGGTTATGTGCTGTTCACTTGAAGGCAGGAATGAGTAGAAAAGACATTAAATGTGGTTCAGTTAGTAACACCTTTGAGCCAAATGCTTGTGCGGTCAAGTCCCACTGCAGAGCGCTGAGCACATAATGTAGGTTGCAGTGCTGAGGGATTTAATTAAAAATCTTATTTGTCAGCTTTGATGGATACATTAGATCCTGTAGCACTAATTCAAAGAAGAGCAAAAGAGTTCTCCTAAATGTCTCAGCTAATATTTGAACATTATTAAAAATGGAAAGCATGCTACCATCACATTACAGTCTCAAAGGACCAAAAGTGCCACATTTTTTGTATTCCAACAGTAACTATGTTTCAGAATTATCTCACTTACTATGACTACTAAATAAATGTAGGCTTTCGTTCTGTTGCTTGTTTTTCCTGTGCCTCCTGAGTAAATCCAGGCTTCATTTACAGGCACTGATGGACCGTGTAGTATGCAGAGTTCGAGCCCTGGCTGTGCTCCCAACCAAGGAACTGGCTCAGCAGGTAAAGGGAAGATGTTGCCTTCATTTGGTTCTGAATGGTTTTTGACTCTTCTTGATTTGTTGGGGATGGTGAGGTGTGTGATGGAGGAGTGACAAGTGATAACCCGATAATCCATGGAACTGTGTGCTTGGGCTTCTAGTTTGAATTTTCCAGCTCAGCCTCGTCACTGGAAAGAGCTGAGCAGAGATCAGCTGTGAAGGAAATGTAACTGTTCACTTTTGAATGGCATGGGAGTTTGGAGACCTCAAAGTCATCGGTGATTCAGAAACCTGAATTCACAGAACAGAATACTTTTCTAAAAAAAATGGTTTTGGGACGCATGCAGGACTTTGCCTTCAATTTAAATTTAAAAATACCTTCCTTTAGAATTTAAATATAAATATTTTTCATTCTGAATGAACTTTGCCTCAATCATTGATAAGGGAGTGTTAAGAAACCCAAGTACTGTCTACGTACAAACCAAAAGAATTGCACATGCTATAAATCAGAAACAAAAACAGAAGTTGCTGGAAAAGCAGAGCAGGTCTGGCAGCATCTGTGGAGAGAAATCAGAGTTAACATTTCGGGCCAAGTGTTCTAAGGAAGGGTCGCTTAACCTGAAATGTTAACTCTGATTTCTCTCCACAGATGCTGCCAGACCTGCTCAGCTTTTCCAGTAATTTCTATTTTGGTACTGTCTACATTCAGTACTGATAACCAACCTTCTGTCAGGCCTACTCTGAACAAACCACTAGAAGGCATGCTTGAGCAGCCTACGTTGATCTACTCTGTGAACCCAAACATCAGGAGACTATATTAAGAGACACTGTCACAAATGTGCACTTTTTTAGGGAATTATGGCTTTTCCATATTAGGGAACTGTTTTTTGCTATTGGAAAGTAAAAGTGTGGCTGTGCAGACATTGTGGGTGGCTCTACCAGACGACTCTGTTTTTTTGTTCTCTATCTCTTCCCATCGTCACTTGCTGTTCATACTCCTTATGCAATGAAAACCTCTTCAAGAGACAGATCAATGTCTAATTATTAAACCAATCAATGGCCAATGAACCCTTGCGGTCCATTGACCGAAAGATTTGAATAATACAGAAAACCCATGACACCTCACTTAAAGGATTATTATTTTTCTCAGGTATGTAAGATCTTCAGTAGTTATACTGAAGGCCTGGGTCTGAAAGTAGTGATTATTGCTGGACAGAAACAATTTGCTATGGAGCAGGCCTCTCTTGTAGAGCATACGTAAGTAATTCTAATTTTGCTTATTCTTAATTGACACACTTGAGTGGACTTTGAGATTGTGGTCTAACTGCAGCAGAACAACTAATCCATGTCTTTGGAATGTGTGGGATTAGAAACTACCATTTCACTACATTTGCTCAGTTATAAAGTTAGAAGTTCTGTTGTCTCCTTGCACTCATTCTTTATCTCAAACAACTCAGGCTATCCAACCAAGGGCCATCAACCCCAGTGAGATTGTGGGCTCTGAGGCAGCAAAGTGGCCATAGAACTTGGAATGAGTTTTAAAACTGGAAAATCTTCTAATGTTTGTTTTTGTTCTTTAGGTGGGCTTGGCTTAGTTGTTGGTGCTGTCAGGCCTGTTTGCTGCCACAACCACAGATGTGTTTTTACCAGCAATTTGACACCCACTGACCACTTTCACTTCACTCAACTCTGGTAAAAAGTCTAAGGCATTAAAATGGAACCACATTGGGTAAAAGTTTGGGAAGCATTGATCTAAAAGTGAAACTCCCTCTTAATTTTCTAAAATTGTTTGGCTCCAATGTCTTCCCCCAGCAGAATGATTATCTGTGAAGTAGTTAAATCGAGGCCATTCCCACTTCATTAATTGAGCTCAGTATGTGCCTCCCAAGGGTTCTCGATTCAAGCTAGAACAGCTGCAAAATCCTCTCGGTGAGGAGCTAATGCAAGTGAGGCTGTTTTCAAACAGCATAGAGAAATTTAGGTGGAGCATGAGACTCTTGTTCTTTGGACAGTATGCTTAGATCCTCTGTTTTGTCCTCATTGGTCACTTTTGAAAAAATTGTTCAGAAGATATGGGCATTGCTGGCTGGGCTAACATTTATTGCCTATTCCAAATGGTAGAGGAAAGGCTACTAAGGAGATATTCTTGTGGGGCTCTCGAAGTAACGGTACAGTGCAGGAAGATAAGCCATTTGTGAGAAATTATCACTCCACTGAAGAGGTAGAGCAGCCAGGCTGGTAACATTACCTGATAGTAGTGTAAATTAGATCTTTAAAGTACCCTGTTGCTTGAATAGTGTGTAAATTGCTTTTAATTACCTGTATAAGACCCTGTTTTTTGAAGTGGAGGTGCCAATGTTGGACTGGGTGGACAAAATCAGAAGTCACTCAACACCAGGTTATAGTCAAACAGGCTTATTTGAAATCACAAATTTTCGGAGCTCTGCTCCTTTGTCAGGTGAAGTGTGACTTCTGTTTTTTTGAAGTAAGTGCATTAATTAATGGCCCTGACTGTAGATAAAGTTTTGTAATTGATGAGTCAAGGTTCCTCAATGCCTATGATCATTAAGCAGTTTTCCTGCTTTTGTTGCCACAGGATTACTGGCTACCGCAGCTTGGCAGATATCATTGTTGCAACTCCAGGACGTTTGGTTGACCACATTGCCAAAACCGACGGATTTGATCTGCAACATCTCCGATTCTTGGTAAGGTTTCAGCCACTTCAATCTAAAGATAATGGATAACTATCTTTCTCTTGGCAATTCAGCTCTCCTCCAGGTCTTTACATCTAACAATGTCAATTGATTCACATGGCCCTGCCACATTCCAATAAGTTGCCCCAAACGGCTATGGTGTGTGAGCCAAGGAAGTACGTATTGGCTGGATATTGAACTGTGGTAAGCATCTCAGCTGAAGTCCTTGACTGTAGCCTTGATTGGGTACTTGTCACTAGATAGAAACAATGTTTTTTCCCGTTCTGAGGAATGATGCTAAATGTTTCCTTCCCCTTTGCTAAAGAAGACAGATGTGCCAAAGTCACTAGCCTAAATGCTAATAACTTGGTATGTGGTTGCGTTGCAGATAATCGATGAGGCAGATCGAATGATTGACAACATGCACCAGGATTGGCTGAACAAAGTAGAGAGGGCAGTATACCAAGTGAATGAATGTTCAGCTCCAGACAGTTTGTTCCAGAGGATAAAGCCAGGGATTTGCACGGCTGCAAGGTAAGGGACTGTGTGTCCCTAGGGCGAGGGATGGAGCCAAGGTTAGGCTTGCAAAGAGAAAACACCACATCGCTGGCTGCATTAGAACGCCACTTTACCTTCAGGCATGGTCATTTTTAGTGGCAGGGAGTACTGTCGTTCTGATTGATCTGTGGTTGGGGTTGGTGGAAGAGGAAGAAATCAAGGAACATTGCTTCACAAATGAAATTAGAAATCTGGAACACTTCTCCAAAAGATTGTGGATGATGGAATAATTGAAGCTTACAAAAATGAGATTGGTAGATTTTTGTTAGAACATAACATGTTAAAAAATAGGCGTTGTAGTAGGCTGTCTTAAGGAGTTTGGTATGCTTGCCTTTATTGGTGAGTGTATTAAGTAAAGGAGATGGGAGTCATGTTGCAGTTGTATAGGATACTGGTTAGGCCACTTTTGGAATTCTGTGTTCAGGTCTGGTCACCCTGCTATAGGAAGTATGTTGTGAAACTTGGAAGGGTTCAGAAAAGATTTACCAAGGATGCTTCCAGGGTTGGAGGGTTTGAGCTACAGGGAGAGGCTGAATAGGCTGGGGCTGTTTCCCTTGGAGTGTCGGAGGCTGAAGGGTGACCGTATAGAGGTTTATAAAATCATCAGGGGCATGATTAGGGTGAATGGTCAAGGTCTTTTCCCCAGGGTATGGAAGTCCAAAATTAGAGGGCATAGGTTTAAGGTGAGAGGGGTAAGTTTTAAGAGGAACCTAAGGGGCAACTTTCTCACACAGAGGGTGTCGCGTGTATGGAATGAGCTGCCAGAGGAAGTGATGGGGGGCTGGTACAATTACAACATTTAAAAGGCATCTGAATGGGTATATGAATAGGAAGGGTTTAAAGGGATATGGATCAAATGGGACTAGATTAATCTAGGGTATTTGGTTGGCATGGATGAGTTGGGCTGAAGGATGTGTTTCCATGCTGTACAGCTCTATGACTTTATTTAGCCCTTCAGACTTGCTCCACCATTCAACAATTTCATGGATGATCTACCTTCACTGCACCTTCCCACACCACTCCCATATCCCTTAATTTTCTTAATACTCAAAATCTATTGACATCTGTTTAAAAATACTCAATGGCTGATTGTCCATGGGATAGAGAATGCTAAAAATTTGCAACACTTCTCATCTCAGTCCTGGTTGCCTGATCTCTATTCTGAGACTAAGAATGTCTGTTCTAAGTTCTGCAGCGAGGGGAAACATTTTCTTAGCATCAACCCTGTCAAGTCCATTAAGCATTTTCTAACTTTCAGTAAGATCTCCTGCCTGGTTTATTCAATCTCTCCACACAGGACAAACTCCTCATTCCAGGGACAAGTCCAAGGAATAAGTTTGTCCTTAAGCAGACCAAAACTGCAAACAGTACTCCAGATGTGACCACACCATTTCCTGTATATTTGTTGTGAGATTTTCTTGCTCTAATACTCTTTAATTGCTCTTTGTAACAAAGGCCATCCTAGTTGCTTTCTATACCTACATTCTACCTTTCTATAATTCACGTACAAAAAGATTCAAGTATCTCTGGCAATCTTTGCCCAGTCTTTCACCATTCAAAAATGTTTCCACTTATTTTTTCCTGCAAGCTGGGTAACTTCACATTTCTCAGTAGGCGGGAACATAGAAGATGAATATGGTAAGGGATATGTCCATATCCCTTTGCAGCTTCTTTGTATCCTCCTCAGCATTTACTTTCCCACCTAATTTTCTATTGCCAGTAAACCTGGCTATATCAAAGCTGGACATAAGTCAGATTGTAAAACCCTGATAGTTACAATCTACGAACCTGAACATGCCCCATTTATTACTACTCAGTTTTCTATCCATTAACCAATCCGCAATCCACAGGCTATTTGGAATCCCATGACTCCTAATTTTATGTTATAATCACTTGATTGGCACCTAATTGAATGCTTTTTGAAAACCCAAATATGCTACATTTGCTGTTTACCCCCTCATTCATCTTATTAATTATTCCCCAAAATCTCTGATTTGTCAAACATCAGTTCCCTTAGGGGAAGTATAAAGGGGCTATTTCCAGGTTGGCAGGCTGTTAGTAGTGCAGTACCACAAGGATCAGTGCTTGTTCCCAGCCCTTCACAATCTATATCGATGATTTGGATATGAGGATTCCATGTAATATTTACAAGTTTCCAGTCAAAACTAGATGGAGTGTGAAATAAAAACAGAAATTGCTGGAGAAATTCAGCAGGTCTGGCAGCATCTGTGGAGGGGGAGCAGAGTTAATGTTTTGGGTCCAGTGATCCTACTTCAGACTAGGTGGAGTGTGAGTTAAGATGAAGATGCTTCATCTCAAGAAACTGAGATGCTTTGAGGGATTTCAAGAAGCTAACAAGTAGGCAATAATTGGGCAGATGGAATACAATGTGGAGAAGTATGAGTCTGTCTATTTGAGCTGGAAAAACAGAAGTTTTTTTAAGAATAGTGAGAGGCCGGGATATGTAGAACTACAAAAGGACTTGGGAGTCATAGAATCATACAGCACGGAAACAGATCCTTCGGTCCAACCAGTCCATGTTGATCATAATCCCAAACCAAACTAGTCCCACCTGCCTACGCTTGGTCCATATCCTTCCAAACATTTCTTATTCATGTACTGATCCAAATGTCTTTTAAACGTTGTAACTGTACCCGCATCCACCACTTCCTCTGGAAGTTCATTCCACATACTAATCACTCTCTGTGTAAAACAAAATTGCCCCTCATGTCTTCTTTTTAAATCTTTCTCCTTTCACCTTAAAAATGTGCCGCCTAGTCTTGAAATTTCCCACCCTAGAGACAAGACACATACCATATACTCCTCATTATTTTATAAACCTCTATAAGGTCACCTCTCAACCTCATACGCTCTAGTGATAAAAGTCCCAGCCCATCCAGCCTCTCCTTATAACTCAAACCCTCCATACCCAGCAACATCCTGGTAAATCTCTTGTGAACCCTCCCCAGCTTAATAATATCCTTAGTATAACATGGAGAACAAAACTGGACACAGTACTCCAGAAGAGGCCCCCTCACCAACATCCTGTACAATCTCAACATAATGTCCCAAATCCTAAACTCAAAAGGTCTGTGCAATGAAGGCATGCATGCTAAATACCTTCTTAACCACCCTATCTGTTTGTGATGCAAACTTCAAAGAATTATGTACCTGAGCCCCTAGGTCTCTCTGTTCTGCAACACTGCCTAAGGCCCTACTTTATTTGCATAAGAGTCCTTGTCCAGGAGTCACTGAAAGTTAACATGCAGATAAAGCAAGCAGTTAAAAGGTAAACTGGTATATTGGCCTTGATTAAAAGAGGATTTGCGTAGAGGAGTAAAGGTGTTTTTATGCTCGGTGAGTTTACATTTGGAGTTCAGATATCTCTGTCATAGAGGCTCCTTGTTCCTGTGTGTGGTTTTGGGCAGCCTTGTTGGCTCAGTGTTTGATGGGAACAAATTACTTTTGTTCTGAGAATGTAGTTTTTGGAAATACTTGAATGGAATGAAGTGTTATTGTAAGTTGTCACTTTATTCCCTCAGCTTGATTATAGCACAAACAGAAGGCCTTGTGGTCTGTTAAAGCTGTACCTTCCACAGAGTGTAACCTCTGTTATCGCGGGCTCTATTCCATTTACTTACATTGAAGAACGAGCATTCTCCAAGGTTTCTCCTTCTTTGTCACTGGGAAATCTCCATCTAGCCCTCAACTCCCTCTTCCGCCCCCACCTTGACTGAACGATGAACTTCTCACATCAATATGTTCTGTGTTTTTGATCATATCTGTTTGCATTTTTAATCTCTATCAAATATTTATTTCGCTGCTTTTGAATGAGTTCATTGGTACAACATGTACTGCTATTGTTGACAGTTCTTCTGATAGCCACAGCTCTGGGTAGGGGCAGGATTTTTTAAAATCCTTCATTCCCTGCCAGAGGAAGATGGGGCTTTGGTTTAACATCTGATTCAAAAGAATCCCTCAGTACCTGAGTAGTGTCAGCCTAGATTAGTGCTAAGTATGAAGTTGAACCCTTTGATAGGTGGGAGTGCCATCCATCAGTCACAACCGATGCTCTAACATTTTAATTCTTCAAATTATTATATTTTTTTCCATTACCAAACAGAATAATTAGTAGATGGTTTGTAAAATTTTGAAGACTATTTCAAAATGGGTAATCAGGGATAGTCCTTCAAAATTACTTCTGTATATAGATCACTTGGTTAAAAATGTAAACAGGTATTTTTTGGATGGAATTCCACGATGGCTGTCAGATGTACCAACTCAAAGCAAATCGACAATTTGATCATTGGAATGGGCAATCTTACTGCTTAATTCCAGATAAACTCTATTTTACATTCATGGTGACTCATTGTTATTATGACTAAAGTACTAGTGAAAGCAACTTTAAATTTATATATCCTACTTTTTTGGGCACAGTTTATAAATGAAAAACTGGCTTTGTAAACAAACTGGGGAAGTGTTAGTAGTTGGTAATAGATTAACAGCTGTGATGTTCTCAGCTCACTTTACTTTGACAGGAGGATATTTTTCCTTTATTCTCTCATGGTATATAGATGTACTAACCAGGCTAGCATTTGTTGCACATCCCAAATGCGTCAAGTGGCTTACTAAGAGGTTTTGAGTCAACCACATCATAAGTAGACCCAACTAGAGAAGGGCGGCAGATTTGCTCCCCGAAAGGCTTAAGCAAACTATATTCCTTTTAACAACAATCATGGTAATATTCCTGATTTATTAATTGAATTTAAATTTCAATAACAGCCGTAGAGGGATTTGAACTCATAATCCCAGTTCATTAGCCTGGGCCTCTAGATCAGTGACATTACCATGACATCACTGTCTGTGCATTTCCAGACTTGTATACTTATTGTCTAATTGTTGTCTCTGAATTCCATATCTACTATATCAGATATTAGCTATGTATGTGTACTCCTAGTCAATAACTGCACACTACTTCCCACAGCCATTCCCGGCTGCAGATGCCCCTGCAGAAGCTGCTGTTTTCTGCCACCCTCACCCGGGACTCTGAGAAACTGCAGCAGTTGGCACTGCACCAACCTCAACTCTTCACCTCCAACTACACACCCTTGGAAAGGGAGACCCATGTGATCCAGAGTGAACTCCAAGAATCCGGTGACACTATTGGAAACAAGTACACCTTGCCCGAGGGCCTGACAGTGAGTACTGATTCAATGTGACGTTAAAAGAAAGAATGCCTGTTTATATTGCTTATTTCATGCTCCAGAGCTCTTTACCACCAGTAAAGTACTTTTGGTGTAGTTACTCCTGTAATGTAGAAGAGGCAACTGCTGAATCTGCACAGGTTACGTCCTGCAGACAGCAATGAGATAATCAGCTTGTTTTATTATGTTGGTTATGGGATAAATACTGGGTGGGCCACTGGAGAGAATACCCCTGCTCTTCTTCAAGACTGTGTTGCAGAATCTCTTGCACCCACCTGGGAGGCCAGAGCAGGGTTGGAGGGTACCTTGGTTAAACATCTGATCCAAAAGTGACAACTCCCGTAAGTGCTGCCCTCCATTTGACTGCACTGGGTGGGACAGCCTTGGATGTGGACCTGAAACCACAAATTTCTGAGTCAGAGACCAGAGTTCTACCACTGAACCACACCTGACGCAGAATCCGTTTGTAAGCAGATGGCTCTATTGTCAATGCTGTGGATTGGCACTTTTGCTTGAAATGAGCCTTACTTGCTGTTTGGTGGGAGGAAGATAGCATAGGGTTCTTTCCAGTTGCATTTTAAAAAAGGAATGTTTTATCCTGTGAGCTTTATTAGATGCATGAGAAAGTTTAAAAGTGTACCACACCCAGTGAACAGCTCATTCTTCCACTGGCTTGGGGATTTCACTTAGTAAGCCTGAGTCATTGCTGGCAGTCCAGTTGAAAAAAGTTTAGGGTAAACAGAGGCTGACTGAGAGTAAAGCTGAAGTTGCTATTGCTCCAGCTTGCTATACATGATATCAAGGTGAATAACATTCCGCAGTCTAGGGGTGTACGACCTACCACTCACTGGATACCACTGGGCACCACTTAGAGTCATAGTCATAAAGCACAGAAATAGACCCTTTGGTCCAACCAGTCCATGCCGAACTTAATCCCAATGTAAACTAGTCCTACCTGCCTGCTCCTGGCCCATATTCCTCCAAACATTTCCGATTCGTGCATCCATCTAAATATCTTTTAAATGGAGGGGGTGCAAAGGAGGTTCACTAGGTTGATTCTGGAGTTGAGGGGGTTGGCTTATGAGGAGAGACTGAGTAGATTGGGATTATATTCATTGGAATTCAGAAGATTGAGGGGGGATCTTATAGAAACATATAAAATTATGAAGGGAATAGATAAGATAGAAGTAGAGAGGATGTTTCCACTGGCAGGTGAAGCTAGGACAAGAAGGCATAGCCTCAAGATTAGAGGGAGCAGATTTAGGACTGAATTGAGAAGGAACTTCTTCACCCAGAGGGTTCTTAATCTATGGAATTCCTTGCCCAGTGAAGTAGTTGACGCTACTTCAGTAAACGTTTTTAAAGAAAAGGTAGATTTTTTTTGAACAATAAAGGAATTAAGGGATATGGTGAGAACGCGGGTAAGTGGATCTGAGTCCACGAAAAGATCAGCCATGATCTTATTGAATGGCAGAGCAGGCTCGAAGGGCCGGACGGCCTACTCCTGCTCCTAATTCTTATGTTCTTATAAATGTTGTAATTGTACTCGCATCCACCACTTCTTAAGGAAGTTCATTCCACACATGAACCATCCTCTGTGTAAAAAAAATTACCTCATGTCTTTTTAAAATTTCTCTCCTCTCACCTTATAAATGTGCCCCCTAGTCTTGAATCATAGAAATTCCCCATCTTAGAGAAAAGATAAATACCATCAACCCTATCTATACCTCTTATTATTTTTAAACTTCTATCAGGTCACCTCTCAACCTCCTCCGCTCTAGGGAAACAAGTCCCAGCCTATCCAGCCTTTCTTTATATCTCAAACCTTCCATTTCCGGCAACAGCCTGGTAAATCTCTTCCGAACCCTCTCCAGCTTGATAATATCATCGCTATTACTGGGCGACCAGAACTGGACACAGTATTCCAGAAGAGGCCTCACCAATGTCCTGTACAACCTCAACACAAATGTCCCAACTCCCATACTCAAAGGACTGAGCAGTGAAAGACACCTTTCTAACCATCCTGTCTATATGTGACGCAAGCTTTAAAGAATTATGTACCTGCACCCCTGGGTCCCTCTGTTCTGCAACACTACCCAAGGCCCTACCATTAATTGTATAAGCTTTAGCCTTGTCTGTTTTACCAAAATGCAATACTTCGCATTTATCCAGATTGAGCTCCATCTGCCATTTTGCAACCAATTAACTCATTTGATCACGACCCCTTTGTAACCTTAGAAAACCTTCTTCACCACCAATTTTGGTGTCATCAGCAAATTTACCAACCATGGCTCCTCTATTCTCATCTAAATCATTTATATAAATGACAAACAAAAGAGGACCCTGAACCAATACCTGTGGAACACCGCTGACCACAGGCCTCCAGTACGAAAAACAACCCTCCACCATTCCCCTCTCTGTCTCCCGCTGTTAAGCCAATTATGTAAGCATTTGGCAAGCTCACCCTGAATCCCATGTGACCTAACTTTACTAATTAGTCTACCATGCAGAGCCTTGTCAAAGGCTTTACTAAAGTCCAAATAAACAACGACTACTGCTTTGCAATCAACCTTTTTGGTAACTTCCTCAAAAATCGCAATCAAGTTTGAGAGACACTATCTTTCTTGCACAAAACCATGCTGACTATCTCTAATCAATTTTTGCCTCTCTAAATGTCCATAAATCCTATCTTTTATAATCACCTCTAACAATTGACCAACAACCGAAGTCAGACTCACAGATCTATAGTTCCCTGGTTTCTCCCTACGGCCTTTCTTAAACAAAGGTACAACATTAGCCACCCTCCAGTCATCAGGCATCTCACCCATAGTTATAGATGATGCAAATATTTCTGCAAGGGATCTCATAATTTCATCCCTTACTTCTGACAACATGCTGGGATACATTAGACCAGGTCCGGGAGATTTATCCATCTTTATATTCTCTTAAGACCTCCCAAACTTCCTCTTCTATAATGTGAACTGTTTTTAAAACATCAAAATTTATTTCTCTGCATTCTCCAGACTCCATTTCTTTCTTCACAGTAAAAACTGACACAAAATATTCATTTAGTATATTTCCTATCTCCTTGGGTTCAACATAAAGACGACCTCCTTGATCTTTAAGAGGCCCTACCCCCTCTCTAGTTACCCTCTTGCTCTTAATGTATTTGTAGAATCTCTTTGGATTATCTTTAACCTTACCTGCCAATGTTATCTCATATCCCCTCTTTGCCTTCCTGATTCCTCTCTTAAGAATGTCCCTATACTCTTTATATTGATTAAGAGATTCAATTGTCTAAAAAAAAAAGATTTTTTTATTCTTGACTAGAACCTCAATGTCACAACTGTACTGCAGGAGGACACCTCAGATGGCTCATACAGCGAGACAATATGGGGAGGGCTCAGGAACAGGAAGGGTACAATCACAATGTTTAGGGTTTACTATAGGCCTCCCAACAGCCAGCGGGAGATAGAAGAACAGATATGTAGGCAGATTTTGGCAAGATGTAAAAGTAACAGGGTTGTTGTTGTGGGTGATTTTAACTTGCAATATATTGACTGGGACTCGCTCAATGCTTGGGGCATGGATGGAGCAGAGTTTGTAAGGAGCATCCAGGAAGGCTTCTTGAAACTGTATGTAGATTGTCCAACTAGGAAAGGGGCCATACTTGACCTAGTATCGGCGAATGAGCCTGGTCACGTGGTCGACATCTCAGTAGGGGAGCAGCTCAGGAACAGTGATCACAATTCAGTAAGCTTTAAAGTACTGATGGATAAAGATCGGTGTAGTTGTCAGGTAAAGGTGCTAAATTGGGGGAAGGTTAATTATAACAATATTACGCAGGAACTGAAGAGTGTAGATTGGAGGCAGATGTTTCAGGGCAAATTAACATCTGGTACGTGGGAGGCTTTCAAGTATAGGTTGATAGGAACTCAGGACCGGCACGTTCCTGTAAGGATAAAGGATAAGCATGGCAAATTTAGGGAACCTTGGATATGAGAGAGATTGTGAGCCGAGTCAAAAAGAAAAAGGAAGGATTTGTCAAGGCTAGGGGACTGGGAACACACAAAGCAAGGGTGAAATACAAGGAAAGTTGAAAGACACTTAAGCAAGGAGTCAGGAGGGCTAAAAGGGTCATGAAATGTCATTGGCCAACAGGACTAAGGAAAATCCCAAGGCTTTTTATACATATATAAAGGGCAAGAGAGTAGCCAGGGAGAGGGTTGGTCAACTCAAGGACAGGGAAGGGAATTTATGTGTAGAGCCAGAGCAAATGGGTGAGGTATTAAATTAGTACTTTGCATCAATATTCACCATAGAGAAGGACTTGGTGGATGATGAGTCTGGGGAAGGGTGTGTAGGTAGTTTGGGTCATGTTGAGACCAAAAGGGAGGAGGTATTGGGGGTCTTGAAAAACATTATGTTAGACAAGTCCCCAGGGCCTGATGGAATATACCTCAGAATACTGAGAAAGGCAAAGGAGGAAACTGCTGGGGCCTTGAGAGAAATCTTTGTATCCTCACTGGCTACAGGGGAGGCCCCAGAGGATTGGAGAATAGCCAATGTTGTTTCTTTGTTTAAGAAGGGTGGCAAGGATAATCCAGCTAATTACAGGCCGGGTGAGCCTTACATCAGTGGTAGGGAAATTATTGGAGAAGATTCTTTGAGACAGGATTTACTCCCACTTGGAAATAAGTGGGCGTATTAGTGAGAGACAACATGATTTTGTGAAGGGGATGTCGTATCTCACTAAATTGGTTGAGTTTTTCGAGTAAGTGACAAAGATAATTGATGAGGGTAGGGCAGTGGATGTTGTCTACATGGACTTCAGTAAGGCCTTTGACAAGGTCCCTCATGGTAGACTGTTACAGAAGGTAAAGTTGCATGGGGTCGGAGGTGAGCTTACAAGATGGATAAAAAAAACTAGCTCGGTCATAGAAGACAGAGGGTAGCAATGGAAGGGTGCATTTCTGAATGCAGGGCTGTGACTA